GATTGAAAAGCTTCCAAGCTACATTAAGTTTTTCATACCTTTTTTACACGTACTGAAATATCAATTCAATAATATATAATTGATTGAAACTATAATAAAATTGTTATACTTTTAAGTGAGTAAGTGTGTCAGTTTAAAAAAAAAAACTGTGAAGAATTAAAATTGAAAGTTTATAACATTATTAAGACTGTAATGAGCAACCACAGTAGTATATGTTATAATTTTAATTTAAAAAAGATATCATTATTACATTAAATATATGATTTAATTATAGAAATATATATAATATATATATTTAGATATAATATTTTAGAAATTTATCTACTAATTATAATTTCCGACAGATATATTTATATTTTACGTAGGTTAAAAAGACACGATTATAAGGATTTTTTGCGTGTCAAATTTCAATTTAAAAATTAAAATAAAATTTTTTATAAAATTGGCAGTTAGTAATAATTATTACAATTTAAATCGATAATTAATATAAAAGTGAAAATATCGAAAGATAAACAGATGAAAGTTTTAATTTTTTCAAATTTAGTACAAATATTCTATAATTCTTGTTAATATTGAAAATACTTTTCTTTCTGAAAACGAAATAATCATAAACCAAAAAAAAAAAAAAAAAAAAAAAAAAAAAAAAAAAAAGAAAACAAAAAAAGAAGAAAAAAATCTACAAATCAATATATAGTAAATTTGTAATATCTATGAAGGGAATATTGAATATCGAGTTAAAATTCCTGCGTAGTATGAGAACTATTTACGCTGCAACCGATATCTGTATTGCAACATTTAACTGTTTCACAATGATGACCAATGTCATAGCTCAATGTGACAATCGATGAGTCAAGTATATTTCAAATAATTGAGCCGCACTCTTCTTTAACATATCAATAATACAATAGCTCTCACCTATATACCTGCATCAACGAAAATACGAAAATGATGCATCGATAATACATTGAATATGAAATCGTCAACTATATACACGCGCACACACACACATATATATATATATATTTATTTATTTATTTATTTATTTATTTATTTATTTATTTATGAATAAATATATCATTCTTTTAATTAGCAATCAAAATTTTACCTCGGAGTAGCATGTATTCCCAAATTATATAAACTGCCACTAATGCATCGAAAGTGAGATACAAAAATCATTAAAAAGATTATATATATGAAATATAGTATTTTACAAAGAGTATGTAGTAGTGAGGAAGATATCTAAAATATTTTATTTTAACGAGAAGTCTTAATATATATATATCATTCTATAATGATATTATACATCATTCAGAAATTCAACTATTAATACATTGAATAAGTAGATAAATGAACTTCGCTAAAATTATTATCAAATTAACAAATTAGTTTGAATTAAGCCTGATTTATTGAACATAATCTGTGAATTTTGCAGTTATCGTATAATATGGTTGTACTGATTACATTAAAATCCATGCCAATTAAACAAAGCAGTTGATATAAAATGGAATAAAATAAATATTTAGCTTTAATACAATTAAACATAAAGCCAAGCATAAGATAATCATTATTTCGAAAATTATTAAAATGATTTAATAATCTTAGACAAAATTATATAAAACAGGGTATAGTAGGAATAAATAAAAAGTGTATAAGATGCTTATAAACAATATAAAATCTTACATTTATCTTAGTTCACATCACATTTCATATCTTATTAATGATGGCATTGGCACTGTTAAATAAATTTCATACAAAAAAAAGTTGCTATTCGCATAATAATCCACATTGAAAGTATTAAAACGATGAAACTGATATAGAATATCTGACAGATAAAAATATCGTGATTAAACGTTTAAACGATATTGGATGTATTATTACATAAATATTAAATTTAAAAGAACATATGACGGGGAAATTTATAGCGTTGTTGTTGATCGAGTCAGACGACAGTTTTAATACACCAATAAGGAACTTATATCAATTTCCCATAGAAAACATTTATTGATATCATAAAAACTTTCTGCAAACAAAGAATAATTATAATGGTGTAAAATGAATAATGAAACTAATCGAATTTCAAGATCGATAGATGCATCTCACTGTTATAAAATAGACATAAATTACTTATTCAAATATAAAATAAATAGCAAACTGAGATAATTGCCAGCTTATAAATATATCAATTTAATATAAAAGATATCAGTTTACAATAGTTTTAGAGAATTTATGTCATTCAATATATATATATATATATATATATATATATATATTTGCATTTTTGTTGAAACGAACTTTAATTCTAATAAAGGTATTTATTTATAATAAATTACTTTTATAAAGATGAAGTAAATTTCAGTTATATAATAGAAAAAGTAAAGAAATTAGGAACTGTGTATGCATTGAAGCACTTCAAAAGTCTGGTGCTAACTATATCCATATTTTAATAATTTTTCGTACAAAGGTGCATATAGTTAAATTATGTCTGACTATTTTTCAATTATGCGTACGCGCATAATATAATAAATTCTGATGAATCGTGTGCGTTTTTCCTCTTGAAACTTTCGACTTTATAAATATCTAATTTTTCATATTTAATTTTCTACCTAACAATGGTTAATCAAAGACAATCTTATTAAATTAATATATTTACTAATTAATTATTTAGGTATTAATATTTATTAGAGTAATTAATATAATAATATCAGTAGAAAACAATATTATAAAGAAAACAATTATGAATCGTTAATTCGAATACATAATTTATAGCAAGTGTCAGAGTTTTAGATTTCCAAAAACATAAATATATAAAGATACGTCTTTTCGAAAGAAGTATACTCCAATTAAATTTATTAAGTGTATTAGGTATACTCGAGTAAAGTACACTAATTTACTAATTTTGAATGAGACGAGGTCAAAATTGTTGTTAAAGCTGACATTTGTACATTTATGTGCTTTGTCACTTCGTTCGCATCAAAATTAGCATATATATTATCTGTAATAGACTCTTTAAACATTTTTTTGAAAGCATATTTATTTTATTTTGTAGTTAGTGAAAACCTTACTGAATAATAACATAAGCATTATCGATGGTACAAACGCACAAACTAAATTGTACATATCAATAATAACAAATTCCAATTCTTTCTAATTTATTTTCACTGAAGAAACTTTATTCTATTGTAAGCATGACAAATTGATAAATTATTATTAAAATTATGAAGCATCATTTAACGAACTAGATAAACTTTTAATAAATATCAAGTTATTATTTGAATATTAAATGTCTATTGACATTTTAAAATAATCATTACAAATTTACATTTTAATTTCATTACAAATTCTCTCATGAGATCTATCGCAAATGGTGATATAAATAATTACATTATTGATAAATTATTAAAAGTTATTAATAATCTATCATTATCCCCATTAACTTCAGCTAATATTTCGACAATTCGGTCACGGTGTTAATTAGAATATTTGCATGACCTGTCATACACGTTTAAGTTCAATCATTCAACGCCTAATATAATAACATCTGGTACTATGATTTTAATTAAAAATAATTCATCTCCGATACAATAGCTTTTAGGATATATGGATGATGTACATCCGAAAAGGATAACGTAATTCAAGTAATATCAATTCAAACTACCGATGGAATTTAGAATTCATATTGAAGAGGCTGAATTCGAAGGTCTACTTTTTATCAATAGATAATCATAAATAATTGATGTCATTTGATATATAAGGGTTAATAATATCTAATGACTGATCTAATAGAATATAACATTGACACATTAAACGCAATATTGAATAAATTGAATATAACATTGATATATATATATATATATATATATATATATATATATATACTTATGTATATACATATGTATATAATATAATTTTTATTATTAATATCAGTATATGATTAGTATTGATATATTTATATTTTAATACATTATTTTAAACGATATCTTTTTAATCTCCTAAAGAATGAGAATTTCATAAAAGTACATTTATAATTACATAATAATATGAATGTGATTGTATTTTAGCATATGAACAATAGGAAGATATATAATTATAAGAGATCATTATTTTCATCTTGGGTAACAAAATGTTGCTTGCTTCATTTAATAACTCAAATAGTGGATATTAAATCAAGCTACAAGCATTTCCGATTGTCTTATAAGCACGCAGAGCATACGCGTGCACGCGGGCACACATGCGCGTCTATTGACCAACGCACATGCGTACACACACAGGCGTATCTTCAGATTTATTTGTCCCATCGACTATGCGAAACTTGCAGCGACAGGAAACGGAGGTGTACATAAGTTTACATAACTTAGCACAGCTGGGATGCACTAAATTATGTGAGTATCGTGTCTCGCATGAACTCGCAACTTTTATGCAAAGTCCGGCTGTAGACTGAGGCTGTGGCTCTTGTAGCTCACTAGCTATATATATATATATATATATATATATATACCTTAGGAACATGCTATACGTAAACAGACAATAAGTAACGGGAGGCTTAAGCCCATAGACCGAGTGTCGACGTCTCAAACTATGGAGTGGAGCTCTGCCTTCTCGCGTTGACGTTCTTACCATTTCCATTGCACTCCAATTCGCCATTCTAATGTATTTGTATATAGACATAATGATAACAGTAAAGTAGTATGAATAGAAGCATTCACAAACATCCTCCTTATTCTTTATATTAACGTTTATCTTGTGCGCAACGTGTACATAACGATCCCTAATCTCTATTTTTATAATTATATGAAAACGACAGCACAAAAGTATGAATACAGTTTCTTTTAAGATTTTATCGAGGTTACTTAATATATTTTATTATACTATACTGCTGAGTGATTAAAAAAAAAAAAAGAATTAATATTATATCATTATTATCGATAACAATTTAAATTTCATATTATTTCTGTTACTGAATTATAATAAATTTAAATATATTTTCATTATGTTTTATCTAGTAATCCGAATTCAGCAGAACACTTCCATGGGAAAGATACACTTTTGTCTGCTAATCGAGAAAAGAGTCGATTTCGAAGCCTGACATGGGATCAATACGATCCTATACATCAAAAATATTTAGAAATTGGTATGAAACCTTATTTATATAATTAATGTATATATATATATATATATATATATATATATATATATATATATATATATATATATATATATATATATATATATATATATATATATATCTATATATATATATATATATATGTATATATATATATGTATGTATATATCCAACTTTTTTACATGCAAAAGAATTCTATACTATATGAAAGCAAATTAAGATTGATTCGTTAATTGCAAATATGATATATGCTATTCAATTATCTTAATAAAACTTGGTGAAACAATTATATTATTATTACAAAATAATAGTGTACTCTACACCAGAGCGTGGTTTTCAATTTATACACTCGATATATATTTTGGCTTAAACGTTCAATTAAAATATTTCAAATGGAGTTACTTAAACCTGACATATTTATTGCAAATAGTGGAAGCCGTATAAAAATACAGTTGGAATTGTAATTCTTTGGCTTCGAAGTTATTAATTTAAAATATCATATGAATTATAGTATTATGCATATGTCAATCATCTCTATTATTGTCATGTTAAACAATTTAAAAAGTTTTGAGTAGTGGTTCCAACGATTATTTGGTTATTCGTTATATCGTATATCTGATAAATAAAGTATAAAATGATATTTTTAAGGATCAATAATATCCACTGATAATGTATTTTAATAATATTAAATATAGCTACGGGTAATACATTTGGCACATGTGAATCTGTGTTCATTCTTTTGGTAATTTGTGCTTTCAATTATACCGATTCTCTTGTTTAAATTTGATTTCAAATATCCTATATTATATTATTTATTTATACTTCCTACAATACGATATTGATTAATTTGTACTTAATTTGTAATAAATATTCTTTATATTATGTTGAAACAATTTAATGATGCAATCAATTTGTATTATTTAGAATGAAATACCAATTAAAGTATATTAATAGGAAATGAAATAAAACTCTACAATCGTTGTAAATATTTCTTTGACTTTATTATGACATTTGTATCGAATACTAAATATGTTGAAAAATCCACTAATGTTGAATCTGAAACTAATGTACATTTATTTTCTTTATATATATAATATTTGAATATATATATATATATATATATATATATATATGAATTTAATGTTTAAAGTACACACTTTCTTGGTTTATTTTAAAATATAATGTTTATTTAAATTTATACAAGCCGCGTGAACAGTAAACATTTTATTACGATTGTAATTATATATTTTAATCATTTTAGAAATATTAACAATTTAGTAAAAAAGTTTAAATATTTCAAAAAATATCTTGTGAATTCATCATTTATACCTTACCGTTGAGTTTTCATATAATTCTTCATTTAACTTTCGACATTTTTCATTAATTTCTAGTTCATTTTTACTTAAAAAAAAAATATTTTAGCTTTCATAAACTTTTTAATTATTTATTCCTAACTTTTTAATTCCTTTCGCATCAGATTGATTATTATTTTTCACTATGGTGTGTTGAAAATTTTAACTTTACATCCAATGAGTTTGTTATAAGTTTGTTATAATAATGATTATTATATATTTATTCGTCTCTTCATATGTATGCGTCAACTTTCCTATTTACGAAGGCATTACGATCATATATTTATATTGGATTAGGATTAAAAAAAAGTACCAATATAACGTAACAATATTACTTTTGTTAATCCTAAATTAATTCTAAAAAATTATTCATTTCATATTGTCACTCAAAAATGAAGACAGTTTATGATGAAACTTACAGAACAAAGTTTCATTCGCTTTCAGTGTTCGGTGGAACATTAGAAATGAAAAATTCTGTACAGTTCAACTAACAGCAATTCCGATAATGTTCATTCTTTCGATTCTTTAGGTATGAAACCAAAGATGAAGAATCACTACAGAGCACATCAATTGTCTGTCTGGTTAAGACTAGTGCCAGAGCTGCATCGGGCAGGAATGGAGGATGTTGAACCACGGCATAACTTGTTCAGGGGTTACGCTGATCCGAACCTCTACGACGGCTTTGTAAGACCAGACCCCCTTAATAGACTCTCTAGTAGCGATTTCGAGCCCCTACATGCCCTCAGGAACATAACAACCGAGCCACCCACGACCACCGATTATACTATCACCACTTGCGTTAGTCTCATTCAAAGTACCAATGTACAAAATATCAATAACGCTAGCACTGATACACTTGCTAGTCTTGACGCTGCGGGGTGAGTATCCATACATTTATTCCGTTTTTTCTTTTCTTCGTTCGCTTAAATTTCAATTTATATTAAGATAATACTATTCGCTATCCGTAGAATTTGCACGACCGCAAATTTGCATTACCGCGATACTCAATATTTATATCTTTTCTATATAATGAACCATGCATTTTTAAATTGGCGATTATAAAAAAAAGGCATGCTGAGAGGGGCTTGAAGTATAAACGATTAAATCAATTTGAAACAATAATGCATTAAACAAACGATGATATGTCTTAAATACTTCCTCTGATATAATGAGAGAAAAAAAAATTACGTATATTATTTGGATAAACGTAAAATATTCTCATCGATGATATTCAATATTGATAAAAAAAAATTGGTAAATTTATTTTAATCATAAACTCGATTAAAAAAATATGCAAAACTTTGTCGCCCGCTTTAAATTATTTTAAGCTTTATTTAAAGAAGAGTTTAGAATGAATTTTTTAATTTTAAATTGCAAAAAATAAAACGAAAAATAATCTGACGAATCTTATCTTATGGACAACATAAAAAAATTTTACATGTTAAATTATAATTTTATCATGCATTTTGGTCATTTAAATGTAAATATTTTTTTTTTTTTTTTTTTTTTTTTTTTTTTTTTTTTTTTTTTTTTTTTTTTTTTTTTTTTTTTTTTTTTTTTTTTTTTTTTTTTTTTTTTTTTTTTTTTTTTTTTTTTTTTTTTTTTTTTTTTTTTTTATATATCAAATATTTGCCATTCTATCATTATTATACTCTTATTTTAAAGTAGATATTAAGCTTTGTAGTAGCATTTTGTAGAAGCATCGGAATAATTTAATTTAGTTTGATTTATCGTAATCTTTTCAACTGCCTACCTACTACATTTTATAATATCATAAAATAAATAGATTATCAATTAAGTGCTATATGCACCTGAAATATATCTTAAGTTCTATTTTTTAACAAGTTTTCTCATCGTCCTTCACATTTTTCGCAGCTATGCCGCATACTCGACTGCCCTTAGTGTGACAATAGCAATTGGCTGCAGTCTACTCATACTCAACGTCCTTATATTTGCGGGTGTTTATTATCAGAGAGATAAGACACGGTTGGAGGTAAAAAGCATGCAACAACAGCAAATGATGAATCAACAGTGTGTCCCTAGAGGCTTTAATGATCTCAAACAGCCGCCACCTCCACCTTCACCGCATACACACTTTCCTGGAGGACAAGTCATCGTCGACGTCGAGAACGAAATGCTTCGAAGGTACGCGTAGGTCATAAGCATCTTTTCTTTCCAAGGCATTCTTGCCTTTAGGAAGATAAATAGATTATTAAGATTATTGCATACCTTAGTTATAGTAAATTTTATTTATTGCAATTTTTAAGAATTGTTCAAGTACGATGATATGAAATAGCCATAAAATGCATATATAATTTTATTATATATGTGTGATACACTTGAAAAGTTTATATTTATGAAACAGATATGATCCTTTCTGAAAATTACATCATTCAAGAAGCAAAATAAATATTTTAATACAATGTAATGTGTCTTCTGATTCACGCTAATATTTTATAAATTTTAATAATAATCTTTACTTCAATAATATATAAAAATAATATTGTTATTGGAATGTTATTGGAATTCGCTTTAAATCGCTTTAATCATCTCATTTAGGACGCCAAAAAATTGAATAAATAGATACTTGGGCATCATCCAACACTGCCAACATAATTTGTAATTAAAAATAGTTAATTTTAATAAAAACCATGAATTGATCTGTATTTTTTAACTTGTAATATAATATTTAATATTTAAAATTAAATAATAGTTTAGCTAATATTATTACATTCTTTTTTTTTTATCCAAATAAAATGCAAGCTTTTGTAATTCTTATTTCCTTCGCTCTTCATTAAAAAATACATTAATATTATAAATTGATATTTTTATAATTTAAATTTCTTTTTGATAGCTTTTATCTAAGATTACCTTATAATGTATTTTTGGATAATGGAGTTTAAATAGTTTGATTTAATGAATTTTATAAAATAGGAAGGAATTTTTTATGTTGAAGATATTTGACATCAACTTGGCATACATAATAAAAGTATATCGAAAAGCATAATAATAAATTTTAAACTATCGTTTGACAAATGCTATATTTAACCTCAGGCAATGCCATATTTTTCATTTTTATATAAATATAATGATTTGAAGAATTCAAGAAACTGCAAATTTTTTTAATGTTTTTTAAATTAGTAAGTATATAAGAATTATATTTTGAGACTAATTATTTAAGACATTGCTTTGATTAGTTTTGTTATTCATAATATCACTGTCAATCGAGATAATTATACTTCTTATTTATTTAGTAAATTGTTATATATAATTAAATAGGACAATCTAATTGCTTAAAATCTATAAATTAATTATTTATATAAATTTTTTAGAAAACTAAAGAATGTAAACTAAAAATGTTGAAGTCTTTAATGTCCAAATGAAAAATTTCTTGGACGATTGCTATAACAAAGGTTAAATTGTCCTTATAAAATGTCACATAGAATTTTGGAACTTGAGATAAAAATATTGTCTATACATTCTGCACACCCTATATAATTTTTAAATATTTCAATAATCGTTGCACTCGTATAGTGATTACGTATCCTTCATTTCGTGCATATAGAGTTAGAGTAGGAAATTAAATTTATTTTGTAAAAACATAATTACTCATTTATAATGGTTAATCAAGTGGTCAAATGGTTAATCATTCATCGCTGTGCGTATATTATTTTGTTCAATTGTATCAATTAATATAATTTCAAAATCATTAAAATCTACTATAATATAAAAGTGTATAAATATAAATTACAGGATAAAATTTCATTTTCTATTATGAATTTTAATATGATAGTAAACAGTAACGCGATTTTTAATTCATAAGAGTATAATAATAATTAATTTCCGTGGTAATTAATGTTTGAATTAGAATTTGATAAATTTCAGCGATTAATTTTCTATTGTTTTCGATTAGTTTTCACTTTCAATGATCTTATTGACATATCGTGAATTCCAAGTGTACGAACTAAAATTACGAATGAATTGTTCGGTAAACAATACAAAAATTGTGTCAATTTTATTGCCTATAAGCGTGAGTGAAAAGAATACGCAATAGAGTATTTAATTTTTGTGTTCAGGAATATCTTGAAAACCATGCCGACAAATGATACGAATATGCTGCTGCAGCAAACCCAAGTAACACATACACTACCGCATCCGCACCATTACCCGAAGCAACACCAAATGCAACACTCAACACTGCCACGGAGTTCAGTGCTCCCAGACATTAGTACACAACAAAGTCAAGTGAGTATCGATTATGGCTTTACTTCGAAATACCATATTTATTGATTTTTGATTGATGGGGCAAGGTTTAAAATATTTATTGTATTTTAATTTTAGAGCTAAATGAAACACGTTGGGCCCTAACTGAGTGTATAGTAGGACAATAAAAATAAAAATAAAAACTGTGAAATTGTAATTCAGTATGTTTAGCATGGATCGGTATTACAGTCTATATTATAAGTAAATATAATATATAAGTAAAATATTTAGTTATCGTTCGCTTCAAAAACTATTCCAAACTAATGGAACTCGAGCATAAAATATTTATGAATTTCTTATTACAATTGAAAGTCGATTAAAAAGTAATGAATATTTTAATTACTCTCGGTAATATTAGCTACAAAATTATTCGCCCTAACACTTTCATTCTGATTAATTCTAAATTTTTACTTAACTTTAGTTCATCCAAACCTTCATAGCTTTACACTCGGGGCTCATAATTTAAAATCTCAATCCATCAAATCAAAATAACTTTACTCTTCTTACTTAACACTTTCTCCGTCAAAGTTTAATATTTAAATAACAATTAAATTCCTCATTCTAATATATACTGGCAGTGAAAAAAAAAAATATGTAATTTTGCTTTCCTCGTCAACTATTTCTCTCTATGCTTTATACCTATGATTAATGCTCCGATAGATTACTCCTCATGCCACTCTAGTATAGAGCGATATTGAAAGAGACAATCAAATGGAAAGTGTAATAAAATCAACTACGTATACAATATTGGACCGGTTGTATGTGGTGGGATTGCAGGGTCCACCCAATGGCTCGATCCACATGACACTACCGCGACAATCGCGGCTTCCGAGGGTCAATAGTCCACCGGAGAACCAACCGCTACTTCAGAGCTGCACCCAAACGACGACGGTCTCGGGTCGCGTACAGTCGCAGTCTGGTGTCGGTGAGATGCACGTCTGACACTTCGAATCCCCGACTGAGCACCTTGTTACGGACCTTCATACAGCTTCCACGCTTCTTTAATGAAATTCCCTCGAAAGATATGCGTATGCTTGCGAGTATGAATTGCGTAGGATAATTTGTGTCTTTGAAACATTATAAGGCCTTTAATAATTAGATGTCCAATCGATTCCACGCCACTGCTTATTTCGTTAGTACATTAAACGCAATTGTTTTTATCAAAGGTTTTTTCTTTGAATTATTTATTATGAAATTTCAATTTTTTTTTTGGAAATTTTACCTCGTAAATTTTACTTCGTAAAATTGCATATAATTTACATTCTGAGAAGAATTGCCGATCTCTAGCTTATGATACCTTATATTGACGCGAAGCGTTCCAATTCTTATAAATTAGTCAAGTTAAAGGCTTATTAATTTACTCATTAATACTATCTGGCAGAGTCCATTAATATAAGTAAGTATAATTACTTCTTATATATCTCATGTAAATATCGTTTTAGAAAAAATTTCAGTCTCTAACTAATATAATGTGAATAAAAAAATTTATATATCGGAAATTTAATATTAGCCTCGAAACTTTGTAGATTAATTAAAGAAAATGTATGTATACATTGTTTGATTTGATATTTCAAGCAAGATTTTATTATTATCCAAGGAGTATATTATATGAAAATTCAAAATATTAAAAAGATAAACTTTATTCTTATTACATTTTTTTTTTAATAACAAATTCAGTCGTATTAACAAAATTTGGAATGAAAAAAAGTTTCTGCATTATACTGCAATAAAAGTCATCATTTTAAGAATTTCAATAGTTATAAAACCGATAATTAAATTAATGAAATTTTAACTGTAACAGAAATACATTCAAGCTAATTATATTTTGCTTCGATAAATTCCTCTATTTTTATACATACTTTAATAAAGAATGCATGCAAAGTAGTTGTAAACATAGAATTAATTTTGTTAGTTATAATTTTCTCATTTATAATTATTATTATACCGAAATTATTTACACATTTTCTTTTTTAACAGCATCAATTTTAATTACTTTTTAACACGAATATTCATATACAAAATATTCAAACAACAAACTTTTATTATAAAAAAAAAAATTTGATGAATTTTTATGAACGAAAATCTATATTCATTAATATCAACTTCAAAATTGATAAGAGTTGATATTTCTATGATATGGCTTATTATATAATTAGAAAATATAATACTTTTGAATTAAAATTTTAATATATAATTAAAAATTTTCCAATTTAATTTATAAATATCTGAAATTATTTCTCAAAAATCCATGATTTTAATGGAAAGTAGTTAAAAAAAAAATTTCATTATTTTTATCCGATTTCTTACATATAGAGTATCAATAAGATAATATATTTTTCTTCTTTTCAATTCTTTTACGTTAAATTATATCTCTAATATTTTAAATTATTCAAATGTAGCCTTTTAAATAACAGTCTAATTATATTGTTTATGTAAATAGTAAAAATTTCTTTCTTATTAATCAATCATTCATAAATATTTTTAACGTTTCTTGCTAATACAAGCATTTCTAAACAATATTACAAAGCCAACAAGTAACTACACTCGTGTTTCTGAACTGAATCCATCCAATTTCTTAGATACGATCTTTCGAAAATTACAGAATTATGCAAATTTTAGTCATTTGTAAGCTTAAATTTCTATTTATTGAATCCATTTCAAAGCATTATACAATTTTAATGAATATATAGATTGAAAAATAAATCTCTAAATTTGTTAAATCTGTTATAATTCGCGAAGTAATAATACAATAAAATATATATATTTATTCAACATATAAATATATAAAGAAAAATTAAATATATTTTTTGTTTTTATAATATTGATTGAAATAGAATGTAAATTAATAATATTTTTATGTGACTATACTAGCATTACTGGGTTAATTATTTCTAATAGAGTATATTTTATATTAAAAAACATCATTGTTTTAGTATTTGACTTTTTATAATATAATTGAAATTTTATATAACATTGAGTTTCTTGTAAGAAATAAACAGTGGCTTTAATTTTCTTTGTATGCGAATATAAAATTTATATAGAAATGAAAATCTGATGAGATTAAAGAGGCGTAGAAATTATCAAATTTAATACTAATCAAAAATAGAGAACAAGAATGAAATTATGAGAGACCCTAAATAAAAATAAAGGAAACATCTCAGCTATTATACAGGACATATATAAATACATGTTTGTACATATATGTATGCATTTAAAGGCCACTTTTATGCAAAATATATACACAGTGTACTGACATATGTTTTGCATAAATAATGGATAGTTGTTATACAATTAGAATGCGTTAAACAAAAAGTCGAGAATGTCTCTAAATGCTCTTTCAAACAAAATATTTATCATATATTGTTTTAATGCATTTATTATCAAAATCATACAAAAATGTCAACATTTTTTATGAATGTATAATGTTATATTGCGAGTGATTATGATTATATAAAAAGAAAATAGTAGAAAAGACTGTTTTGAATTTTCCACGGTCGAAGCATCGCAGGCAATTAAATATAATGAGAAACAAATCACAATAAAATTTAATAACAAATTTGTTTTAAATATGTTTGTTTGAAATACCTTATTAAGCTAGAGTTTATAGAAAATTTGAGCACGCAAGGACTTTCCATCGCGAACCTTCGACTATGGGGAGTGCAATTAAATACTTATTAATGAATTAGGGTGAAAGCGGAATATACTACGTAAATCGCTCCTCCCGTCCTACGATTAATTAATTTGAAGGCATTAAGAAAAAATAAGCAGCGGCTAATATGGTTATCCTTACATAAACTACTATAAATAATAAAACTTCTCGTCTTCCGTATATGAGCCGACAGTGGATTTCGAGTTACTCATTGGCTTTATTTTTTAAATCAAAAAATTTAATTGCATAATCATTAATTATGATAATTAAAAAGCCAATTAAAAATAACTACAGAATGCACATAATGTGCAATGTATATTCGATTCAATTAAGTGTAGAATTAATGTAAATTTATAAAGAATAAAATAAAATTTAATACAAAAAGTACGAGCACCAGATGTTCCTCAAAATTTTGCATTACACAAATCAATGTTTGTATTAGTTATAACTAGTTGTAAAACAAAATTTCAAGGTTGAATAATTTTTTTATACATTATTATAAATATATATGATTTTCACAGCTCTAGCATTCCAAATTAATTTACGTAATAATATTTACATATGCATTAATTCGCCAATTGAATATGGAAAAAGCGCATAAAAGTTAATTAATAATTTTTTTTTATATGAATATGGTATAAGATTAATAAATATTGGTCAATTCTACAATTTTATGTTTATAAATTGTAAGATAAAAGTAAATGGCTGATTAGTTATGCAATATATATAAGATGATTGAAAATTTTCAAAAAATAATTGAATTCACAAAAATTATTTTGTTCTATTAAGTAAAATTCACGTATAATACAATATCTAACGTAACGTTGAATCGAAAGGTCAACGAACTGTTTTCTAAATATAATCAGTATAATAATTTAAATTGTAATCTTGTCATATAGTCTATTGAAAAAAAATATACGTAAATTGCTACTTATTGAAGTAAATTTGTAAAAGCTAATTGTTAACGTTAATTAATTTTATGAATTTTCAGACAAAATATGTATTTACCATTAATCGGAGATGAAAAAAAAAATCAACGCTATTCACGAAAACAATATTAAATTGATTTCTATAAGTACCGTTTGCATGTATTCAAATATATATAAGCTATATACCTATATATATATATATTTGAATGTATATAATTGTATGTAAGTATAACATCAATCGTAAATTTCAAGTAAAACGAGAATAAATATTGTACAAGAGCTAACAGTGATAAATACACTATTAATTGTTATAGTCGTCAACGAAGCGCTAGTTGTTTTACGTTATACGTTGAATGTCTTTAAAAAATGGAAATAATGGAGATGCAAACAGATTGTAGAATAATTTCAAGATGAAAATAAGAATATGCGAATATGATATCATTACACGTGGACAATCCGACTAATTAATAGTGTATGTGTGGATGCGTGGGTTGGACGTATGGGTTTGCGGGTGTACTCGCGTGCGTATGCTTGTGTGCGAGTGCGTGTTTGTGCATGCGCGCGCGAGCGTGGCTGAACTGCGTAAATTGTCAAAATATATATCTTACAAAATGGAGAATAATAAAGTCTGATATAGGCACTCAAGTGATGATCATCGAAAGGATGGTTTGTATGCTTGTGACAAAATTTTATATATGATTTTATAGAATTTTTTCGCTTAATATATATATATATATATAATCAAAAAAAATGATAGAAATGATTTTCGAAAGAATTCAAATTTACCGAAAATCAGCAAGTAATTGCGACTTAAGGATAATTTTTAGAACATAAAAAGTTTCATCAGAAAATTTTCATACAATACACGACATTATTTTACGTATAAAAATAACAGTTTCCAGATATATATTTGCACTCAATAAATTATATTAATTGCTTCTTAACGAGACAAATAAAATCGAAAATCAAAGAAATCTATTAGATTAACTAAAATTGTACTATTGATATGACCTATCCCTCATTATTATTGAAAAAATAAATTTTAAAATATTTAAATATTATTTTTCTCCCCTTCTATACATATGGAACTTGTATATTATTAAAAATTAATTTAAAATCTTGATAGTATTTATATAAATATATAATAAAAATTTAAGAAGTAAATAATTCAAATAATTGAGTGTACAAAATAAAAATTATCGTTACAAATGTATGGTGTTTATATTTATGAACTTTGGGTATAATAAAGTAAAAAATTGAAATAAGACAGAAGTTTATGTAGATTACAAATAAACAAAAGTAAAGAATTCTCATCATTGAAGTGTTATTTTTTCATTTCAAATCCACTAATGTCATCCGTTTATTCTTACCCTCGACATTATGCTGTTTAACTTTTAATTGTTAAATGTTGATGAGAACTTTTGAATTTTGCTAATTACATGTTTTCGTATATAAGCCCAAAGTTCGATTGCATTTTTCAAAAAATAAATTTGTTTTTAATCATAATATAATTTCTACAAATGCAAAATAAAAAATTTATT